TCACATTAAAGAGTTAAATTCTATTTAAAAAAATTTAGACAGTATTAAAGACATAATCACTTCGTATATTGAACCATAATGCAAAATATATTTACTACTGGACTGAAGATGCTTGAAGCCATCATTGAAACGCACAAATGCTTTCAATTCTGACAAGTGAGCTTATTTACGCGTTATCAACAACAAAGAGCGTGATCACGCGTGTCTCGTGATCATCCACTGTGTCCACCGAGGACAGACCATGTACGAAAATACATTTACGTGGAGCAAGAAGATAAATTGAGGTGGCAGCGAAAGATAGTCGTTGCTTCGTTGACCTCCGTTCAAATTAGAATAATGTCGCGAAGAAAACACTGGCTGGCAGAATGTAGTGGGAAATTTTCCCAAAAACATATCAAAATATAAAGTTACCAATCTCTATTGTTACATTAATCGATAAATTTCTGTTTAAAATGCATCATTATTTAAATAATCCGTTGTTGAAATAATAATTTGTTCAATTTTTTGTTCATTACAAACGGCGAATACACATATTTTTCTTCATTTTATCTTTATATTTCATTTTTGTTCACGTATTTATTTCTATTCTTTTTCACAATAACTGTCCTATTGTACGGCATTTTGTTTCTTGGAGCTCGGAGGTTGTCTCGACTCGGGAATAATTGCCAAGTAAACGTACGTGTCTCTTCATAGCATGTCACACATCATGTGCGACATAGCACAACGAAAGTTCTCGGTCGAGTCCGGTTTCAGCGGGGCTTTAGTTAAATTCGGATCCCTTTTGATCTGTAGGCCAGCTTATTTAGAATTTAGGTTTGCAACGGTCACAACAAGAACTAGAATGGAGAAAATAGAACGGTTTCAAACATTTCGCGATTTATATGATACAAAAAAAGTATATAGGTAATTGATAATTTTTCCTATTATATGATTGGAGAACATTTTTATTAGAAGAGAAAAAAAAGAGAGCAAAGAATAAATTGTCATTGATGTTCTTTAAATTTCATTAAAATCATATTTCTGGACGTTTATCGCGAGATTAACATCGAGACCTACACATAACACGTAATATATCACAGTAATATCACAGTAATATCGCGGTAATATTGCAATATACCATAAATATTACATATTACAATACAATATCACAGAAATATTAGATGCTTGAATTAATTCTCGTTGTTGACCGAGAGAGCTAGTATTTGTACTGTTTCAACATGGCCGAAAGCCGAAAGTATAACTGCTTATGTATACGAAAGTATAACTATCAATAGGCTTTAATAATCAGTACCTATATAACATTTGATTGAATGCAAAGATTACAATTTTTTATAACTATCAATAAGCTTTAATAATCAGTACCTATATAACATTTGATTGAATGCAAAAATTACAATTTTTTTATTGCATTTAAAATGTCGGGTTTCGTACTAAAAAAGAGCGGAAAGCGTTACTTTTCTATTTTAACTTTAAGAAATTTGCTGCTGAAAGACATCGTTTAGTGGAGGCTTATGGGGAGCATGCTCTATCTGAAACAACTTGCAGAGATTTGTTTAGAAGATTTAAAAACAACGATTTCGATGTGAATGACAAAGAGTGGCCTGGTCAGCAGAAAAAATTGAAGATGGAGAATTGGAGACATTACTTCAAGAAGATTCATGTCAGACGTTGAAAAAGTTGTCGAAAACATTAAATGTCGATGTGTCAACGGTTAGCAAACGTTTAAAAGCAATGGAAATGATCCAGAAGTTAGGAAATTGGGTTCCACATGAATTGAGAGAAAAAGACATTGCGAAACGTTCATTTGTGAATTATTGCTGCTCCAAAGACAAAAACGGAAGTCGTTTTTGCATCAAATTGTGGCGATGAAAAATGGATTCGTTTTACGACAATCCTAAACGCAAGAAATCATGGATGCGTCCCGGTGAACTATCAACACCATAACGTCAAAATAAGACATTCATGGAAAGAAGATCATGCTGTGCATTTGGTGAGATCAAGTCGGTGTCGTGTACTATAAGCTGCTGCAAAAATTAAACCATCAATGGTGAATACTACTGACGTTATAATTACTCAATTTAAATCAAGCATTCAAAGAAAAACGTCCGCAATATGCCAGAAGACATAATAAAGTTATTTTTCTCCATGACAACGCCAGACCACATGTCCACATATTGCACAACCAGTGAAGGAAACCTTGGAGGTACTTGGATGGGATATCTTACTCACCCGCCCTATTCACCAGACGTTGCTACCTCTGTGAAGTTGGCACCTCATTTAAAAAAAAATGAAATTTTCGACAGAGTTCTGAATGCACCCCGAAGAGTTCTGAAGTTCGTGCCTAAAATAAAAAATAGTTCTGGCGAATTAACACTAACAATCGAAAATTTAAAATTTGGGGTGCTATAACTCAAAACGCACAACGAAAAGTTGCTATATCTTCTAAACCATTAGTCATAGCGCTTTAAATGCTAATAACTTTTAGTAGAACTCTTGGGGTGCTACCCAGAACTGTCAACAGAACTGCCGTAATGTTAAAAAAAAATTTTTTTATTTTTAAATAGAAAAAATCGCGATATCTCTGAAACCGTTAGACCTAGCGCGTTGAGTATTAAGAACTTTCGTCAGAACTCATCGGGTGCTACCCAGAACTATCGACAGAATTCCCGTAACTGTCAAAAATCTTTTCACCACGGGACTTAGATATTTTACGAAAAATCGCGATAACTTTGAAACCGTTAGATCTAGCGCTTTGAGTATTAGGAACTTTCGTCAGCACTCGTGGGGTGCTACCCAGAACTGTCGACAGAATTCCCGTAACTGTAAAAATTTTTTTTTTAGATTTGTCGTACGAGAAAAATTTTTTAGAGTTACGGAAGTTCTTAATACTCAACGCGCTAGGACTAACGGTTTCAAAGTTATCGCAATTTTTCGTTGGATTTTTCGTAAAATTTCTCAAGTCCCGTGGTGAAGAAATTCTTTACAGTTACTGGAATTCTGTCGACAGTTCTGGGTAGTACTCCACGAGTTCTGACGAAAGTTCTTAATACTCAACGCGCTAGGTCTAACGGTTTCAGAGATATCGCGATTTTTTGTATTTAAAAATAAAAAATTTTTTTTTTTAACATTACGGCAGTTCTGTTGACAGTTCTGGATGGCACCCCAAGAGTTCTACTAAAAGTTATTAGCATTTAAAGCGCTATGACTAATGGTTTAGAAGATATCGCAATTTTTCGTTGTGCGTTTTGTGAAGTTAGCACTCCAAATTTTAAATTTTCGATTTTTAGTGTTAATTCGCCAGAACTATTTTTTATTTTAGGCAGGAACTTCAGAACTCTTCGGGGTGCATTCAGAACTCTGTCGAAAATTTCATTATTTTAAAAATGAGGTGCCAACTTCACAGAGATGACGTTGCTCCATCAGATTATCATTTGTTTCGGTCGATGCAGCATGGTCTTTCTGAGCAGCACTTCAGTTATTTCGAAGATATAAAAAAATGGCTCGATGCGGCGCGGCGATCCGCCTCAAAAGAATTTTTCTACCGCTGAATCCATATGTTACCCGAAAAGTGGGAAAAAGTTATAGCTTTCGATGGACAATATTGTGAATAAAATATCAGGTACTTTTTGATAAAATAGACACGAGTTTTTTTTTTAGCAAAAAACAGCGAGACTAATTCAAGCACCTAATACAATAAAAGACTTATAATTGAAATGGTTCATATAAAAAGACAAAAGCATGGTATCATGGTAAAGGAATATAATATTTTCGACACAGCTATTGAAACACATTATATTATACATGTTATGATTTATAATATATAATTTTAAGATTCTAAGTTTAATTTTATTTTGATCAAAATGCAAATAAAATCAAAAATTTTTCATTAAAAAAAAATAAAAAAATATTAAAAATGTTAAATAACATTAAATAATTTTAAATAAAATAAGAAAATAGAGTATTTTGTTTTGTTTTAAATGTGTTTACTACATAATATTATATTATGTATTTCATATTGTATACATATATTTGTTTCCTAATGTAATTTTTTTTTAAATATATGTTTTAAAAGATATTTTTTGTATTTAAATATGATTTTTTAATGTATTTTCCCCACTTTTGTGTTAAATAAGTTTAAATAAAATTAGAAAAGTGTTTTGTATTTAAAAAAGAGAATAAAAAACTATGTATTTAAATACTTTCTTTGTATTTTGCATTTTGTATTTGGAGTCTAAAGTAGTTCGGTCCGTTTTCCAAAAGATGATCGCTTCCAAAGACGAGTCATTTTTTCGAGATGGAATTCGAAAATTGCCTGAGAGGTAGGAAAAAATAGTGCGCAGCGATGGAGGCGATGGACAATACTTTAATTAACCTGTTCATTCATTTTGTTTTGAAATAAATGCATTTTTGAACAAAAAACGGATCGAACTAATTTGTACAATTAATATTTAAATACAATTTTTGAGTATTTTGTATTTAAATATAATTTTTTAAGTATTTTGCCTACCCTTGGATATTATATTATATTATAAAGGCTTACAAATATATGGACATAGTTACAATACGTAGGTGTAAATAGAATAATAAAGAAAAAAAAACTATCAGAAAGTAAAGATATAAAAAAGAATCGCAGATTCTCGAAAAGATTCTAGGAGAAAGTTTTATATATAAAAAATAAGTTAAGCAATATATATACATTACGAAAAATTATTAGGAAATCTCAGACAAATTAGTGCATGGTACTCAAATTATGTTTAAATAGACGAGAGCTTTTAAGGGGAAATCGGCAACATAGAGCAGCTGAAATGAATGAACTTCAGAAACAAGTTCGACGGATGTAAATACATATGATAAAAATTTCATTACCGTTGTTATCATTATCATCGTCGTCATCACTAATGCTACCACCACTGTTTGAGTTCTTGTCGCGTATAGCTTCACGGCCTTTGTACCTTTTGCTCAGAGGGGATAGCCTAAGTTTAGACCCGGCGAGACTCTCGTCGAGTTCAGTATGAAACCACCATCCTTGAGAATCAATTTCTTCGCGCCGGACGTGCTTTCCGCGTGCAAGTTTCATTGCGTGCGTTTGACCGGCGAATAAGCTCGATCATCGTACAATTCGGAAGAACAAAGAATTTCCATCTCGCGAAAAAATCTAGAAAGAGAGAGAGAGAAAAAGAGATTATCGCGATGGCATACAGCTGGGATAATCGCGTTAATTTCATAGTAAAATTTCTGTATGGTTAGTAGATGCAGTGGATATTGCAAGGATAGTTCCGAGCAGAGGAGGACAACAATTAGAATGACAATGTGATTTTTATATATATATATATATATATATGAAGAGGCAGTGCATAGACACGCTACGAAATCATGAAATATCGAAAATTGGAAGTAAATAGTGACTCCATATGCAAAAATAAAAGTGTAAAATGAATGAATTTCTTTCGTATAAATTTATTTTTATAAGACAAAATTATAAAATTTATAGTAAAAAGTAAATCAATATTTTTATATCTCCTCTGTTAAATATGCATTGTGTCATGCACATGCATCCCCTTGCATTGTCTTACATATCTCGTGTGTTCCCTCTTGTGTGTGTAAACTTCGTGGCATAGTAATTGGTAGTAATATGAAATGTATATGTATAAGAGGTGTCTCATAATAAGTGTTAAATAAACATTAAACAATAAAAGTGCTAAAAAAAAAAAGTGTAAAACATGTTTTTTTTGGTCATTTTTTATATAGAATATAACGATAATTAAGAGAATATCTCTTTATAGTTCTTCAAGGTATTTTAAATAGTATAGGAAATATATGTAATTTCTTTTATACAGACAGCTTGTCTTGTATATTTATTTATTAATATATTTTCTTGTATAGAATAATGAAAAGGATTATTATAAAAACATTATTATGTGGTTTTTATATTAAAAAAAAAAAGTACAATGATACATATATATCTTACTAAATACTCTATACAAGATGTTTTATATTTTATATATACATATATGTATATACGTATAAAATATATGTATACATATATTATACAGAGTGCTTCCGGGTTAAACCGCCAAATTTAAAATATGAATTCAGAACCTGAAAACAAACAAAAGTTTTTCTCTAGATGTATGCTCGCAAACGCTTCGTCGTTCAAGAGATATTTACTTTTGAAGTTACAGAACTGTAGAAATAAATAATGTCGAGATAACGTCGAAATAAGGTCTATTCTCTCTTTATTGTGCTTTACAATAATCAAAATTTAATTAATTAATTATTAAATATTTTGTTAAAAATAAAAAACAAATATACCATATCGGCATATTCACTATTAGAATACGTACGAGGCATGATTATAAAACATTCATCAAAAGCAATTAACGAACAAATAGCTGCAAACTACGAGCTTGGCAAACAAATAAAGTCTATCAATGACCTCTGAGCTTTAAAACAAAAACATGACATATTTCAATTATTCATTCCTACAGTTCTGTATAACTTCAGAAGTAAATATCTCTTGAACGAAGCATTTACGAGCATACGTCCAAAAAATTTTTGTTTATTTTAGGTTCTGAATTCTGCATATTTTAAGTTTGGCGGTCTAATCCATGATGCAGGAAATCCTGTAAACATACACATCCACGCGCACGCCCACACACACACACACACACACACACACACACACGCACGCACACACATACTCACAGTATATTACAAAAGAGTGTAAAACATATTTTGCAAAATAATAAATATAATTAGGTCTACGAGCCAAATGATATATTTTAAACTCAGAAAACAAACATACATATACGTATGAATATAATAAAAATATCAAAATGACATTTATAAAACAAATAGTTACATAAGCAAATTTAAAACAATTATAAACAATAGGACAGACATACCATAATAATGCAAGACCTAGAAGAGTCATTGCTGTAACGTCATGATCAAGTTTGTTGGCATACTTCTGGCATACCGCTAGCATTTTCCTATCTGGGTTGTTGTTTTTGCATCTACAATATTGTTAAAAGTCAAAATAATAATCTATATATTATAAGACACAAAAACTGACACTTGATACAATTTATATTTTGTTGAGTGTAAAATTATAACATTGCAATATTGTGTTACTGTTAATTGTGGTGTTTTTACGGGGATAGCAACATATATATAAGCAGTTCAAATAAGAAAAAGTCGACTTATAAATTGATCAGACAATATTCAACAGTACAAATATATACAGTAAAATAAAAGTGGAACACTTCTGTTCGTAAAAAAATCCAAGTTCAAAATAAGTGCTCTTAGTGAAAGGAACTCTTGTAAATTTGCAGATATTGATAACAATGGATATTTGGACAAGCATGATTTCGAGTGCATGGCATTAAGAATGACGCTCATCGAAGGCAAAGGCGACTTTAGTTACAGTCGGTACCAAGAAAATCTTCATATCATGCTCTCTTTATGGGATGAGATAGCTGATCTGGCAGATTTTGATAAGGTATATCATAAAGATATTATTATGATATTAAATATTACCCCAACGATATAATTCAAATGTCGAAATCCTTCGGGAGGATCCAGTTTGCCTACAATCCCGATTGCACACACTACTCACATTGGCCGGTACCTAGTAACTTTTCTCTGCTTTACCAATGACGTTATATTATTTTTAAATTAGCCAATCAGCGAGCAATGTGTACAATCGAGATTGTAGACAAAATCGGAACCTTCCCAGATTATCGCTTATTTTATATTATCCCTTTTTCAGAACGACGTTGTAACGATAGAAGAATTTAAAAAGGCTATGCAAAGTAGCTGTGTTGGTCGTTCTTATAACGATTTTCCTCAAGCTATGAAGATGTTCATTGATAGTCACTTCAAAATACTTGACATAAATGGTACTGTGCAATATTTACAAACGCAGGAAAATCATTCATATTTTCGGCCGATATTCATAGTCCGTTCTTATTTCTAGACAGTCTTAAGTAGTGTTAAAAATGCTAGTAAAATTCTACAATAAAATGATTGTAAATATTAAAACACATATTATATGTATACCGACCATTGTGTAGAATAGTAATTAATAAATCAATTTCTTTTCTGTATAAAATCAGGTCAATAGAAGAAATTGATAATAGAAATTATTTTGTGAAACATAATAAATTTTTAATGTTTTCAGAGGATGGCGTAATTGGTGCTGAAGAATTTCGATATGATTGTGCTTCAAGAATTGCTGTGGATAATATAGATATCCTTGATAAAGCTTTTCAAAGTCTTTTAAACGTAAGTGAAATAATTTGACTATTTAATAAAATAAGAATAAAAATTCCTTCGAACTCCTTCTTTAACATTATCTTAAACTTATGAATAAACCAATCTCTAATATTACTTTAATGCTATATAAAACAGTAATTTTTTATTTGCTGGGCGGAAATTTTTACAACGTATTATGTCAAGTATATTCTACTAGAAAATACGTAATTTTTTATTTTACAATAAAAAAATGTGCAATAATTAAAAAAATTACGCTATTGCAATTATTATTTCATTGAAATGCTTTTATTGTAATGGTTTAAAACATTAAATTTTCACTGTTCTATAAGATTTGATATTTTATTGTGTTTCATTTCTTGCAATTATTCAAAATTCAGTAAAATCCTAGAAAGAATTAATATAATAATATAAATTTCATGAAATATGCATGTATCAATTAAAAGAACTGTGTGTGTTTTTAAAGTAATACTTCATTACGTTAATAGGATGATGATAGAAAACGCGGTGGATTGACGTTATCACGTTATCAAGAATTATATGCGCAATTTCTCGGTAATCCTGACGATAATTGTCCCGCAATCTATCTTTTTGGACCAATAGGACAAGAGTCATAACTGAAACATTCGCCATTTTGAAGCAATGTCAATCTTTATTATGAAACATTACCTTTAAAAAAAAAAGATGAAAAAAACTCCAAATGTACGCGCTCCTCGAAAAATAACTATTATACATAACTAAAAAAAAAATAAAATCTAAGTAAGATATATCTTCTTATTCCCATTCAAGAATCTTCTTATTTCAATTCAAGCGGCAGATATAAATTTCCTTAAAAAACTATATCACAAAATGTGCCAATTAAAATAAAATTTATTCACATTGTGTAACCTAACTTAATTTAATTCAAATAATATTTATTTATTCAAATTTCTACTCAAAGATAATTTTGTTTCAATCCAAGTCTTATTATCAAGTAGTATATTTTTGTTTTAACAAGTTTACCTAAATGTTAAAAATTTGGCACCGTTAAATATTAGATTATTAAAATATTTTATTAGAATATTAGAATACTTTAATATAATAATGATTTGCATGTACTACATATATGTATGTATATGTATTTTGTTCTAGCAGCGCCAAGTTTTTATGTTAAATATTTTTAATGTTTGAGTGTTGCAACAAAAATATATTATTTTAATTAAAATAAAAAATAAAATTTTTGTTGAGTTGAAATTTGAAAATACATTATAGATGTTTTTTTAAATTATTAAAAATTTTTATACATATAAACAATTTGCGCATTATTTACCGCTGATTCCCTAATTAATTTTTCCACTTTTTAATTAATTTTGATTTTTTTACATTTACTTCTAGTGCATTCGAACTTTTGGTCGACACTGCATAAGTATGTGAGTGTAAAAACAATACAAAGTGCAAATTGCCACACACAAATGGTAGATTCTTGAAATATAATATAATGCAATTATATATGGTACAAACAGGAGAAAATTTATTTATATTTATGTGACAACATAGTACGCTTTGTATGTTATTTGAAATACTTGTATCTTGTATGTCTTATAATTAGATTTCTTTTCTTCTTTTTTTCAGTTTATTCGTTATTACAATTTAATTTGATGCTTACACGTTTTTATTTTTTCACAATACTTTTTACTTATATCGAAGCTATGATATGCATTTCGTCATATACATGGTGCAGTATAAATTGAAAATCATTTATTTAATAACTCCTCAAATGGACCAGTACGGTATATGTATATTAAATTTAACGAAAGATATCACATCATACGTATATTGAACACACGCATATGTCAGCCAATATCGTAAATTTGTACATTTTACGACATATATTATTTATGTATACGATTTGTAACATTTAATGATATAATGTAGCCTCTCATTTTTCATGTCTTATACATTTATTTGCACGCACGTACACATATCGCAGTAACAACATGAGAAATATTAACAACTTTATATCTAGCAAGTTCCTTTCTTTCATATTGTATATACTACTTGACAAGTAGTACAAAAGTTGTACTCGATATAAAACGTTCAAATCCGTGAAAAATTCTTTCAATCGAGATGAATCGAGCACATTAAACAACACTGTTAGTAATTAATTTATCTGTTAGTTCTTGTTATGTATATTATACACAAACAAGACACTGTTGCAAAATTTGTTACATATATCGAGCAAAAGCATTGTATTTTATATAGAGAACTTACAAGTAAATAACCGACAAGTAAATAAAGTTGGCAAATCTATCCCACATTGGGAACCTAGCAATTGAATGTAATATTTCCATTTTCTTCCACATTCGACGAAAACCTTACATAATTCTAAATATTTAGCTAAATCATAATAAATTCACGACTAACCATAGTGATCAAATTTCTTGTTGGAATAATATTTCTTCCAACTTAATGTGAGATTGTGGAGTTTATCGAAGAAAAACGAACTTGAATACATACTTTACGATTCTCTCAATTAATTTTAATTACGAATATAGTACAAACAAGCATATTTAAAATCGATCGATTGCTAGGATTAATAACATTTATATTTTGTTCCTTTGAGATTTTTGCTTACTAAAGATCATATAAAGTCAAAATTCTTTCACAATTTCTGTATGTACGAGGGTTTAAATATGAAAGAAACTTCTCTTATGCGTGAATATAAATCGATGTTGGTAGACGTATTTACACTAAATAATGTATTTATAAAAATGCTTAAAAAAATCCAAACATTCAAAATTCAACATTCAGTTTTGTCTAAATTTTCAGATTTAGTTGCTTCAAGGTGATTGTTAAATAATTTCAGACAATTTGTTAATTATCAGAAAAGCTTCTCTCTGAAAGTTAAGAATAATGGTGCGTCTGTGTTCGAAATATATATTTAGAATCGGTGTCTAAAAGTGAAACAACACATTTGAAAGCAACAACTATGTATTTAAAATTTCAGATAGACTAATTTCACGATCCAATGCATGAATGTTCTCTACAATTTCTCTGCTTTCGTTGACTGATCTTTTCAATGTTATTCTCTTACTAAAGACTAATTATAAGCAATTTAATAAAATTTTATTTAAAAAATTTTAATTTTAATTATTTTTTGAGTAATGATGAAAATACTTGTCATGAGAACATTATTTTTATGAAAATTTTCGAAACAGCCGCAACCCATTCAATAGTTTATAATTTTTTAATTACATATTAGATAATATATACTTATTATAATATTTATTTTACATTTGCCTTTTTCTTAATTTTGATAGCGATGTTTCATATATATAAGTCAGCTGTATACCTTGTCGAAATTATAGTAAAGTATAAAATAATCTTGCACTTTTGGGCAAAATTTTTAGGAAACTGTAACTTAACACTTATCTTAAGATTTTTATAGATATAATTATAAATCTAGTTTTTTTTTTTAGTCTAAATATATCTGTTCTAAATATCTAAATATTCGAATATTTTAAAATTTGAATTTCTATTTATTCGTCAGTCTGACTTTTATCCCTAAACTAGTTGCACTTAGTTTAGAGTTTATCTTTTTCTCTTCATAAAGGAAAAAAAGTAAACTCTGAATGTCTGAATTAGTGCAGCAATTCAGTAATAAAAAGACAGACTTAATAACAGGTAGATAAAAATTCAAATTAAAAAAAAGTGTCTGAAAATATTTAGATATTTAAAATATATATCTAAAATATCTAAGATATTTAAAATATCAGGCTACGATCCACTTAATGTTAAAAATGCTTCGAAACATTTTTTGAATTAATAAAATTTTTTCTTCCGATTGGTCAATAAAAAGCTTCGAAGCATTTGTAGCGCTAAACGGACCGCACCCATAGATATGTTTAAACTCTCTCCTATTAATCAGAAATTAAGGCAAAAGTAACTAGGTATTTAGGTAGAATCAAAAAATATTTATACAACTCGCTAGAAATTTAGACAATTGTATCATATCTGTCATATAATATACTGTATCATATAATCATATTAGAACAAATAATACTAAATATGTTGCACAACGCGTTCAAATTTTTTTATAAACAAAAATGTAAAAAATATTGTAATTTTGCATAAACTGTGTACAGCTCGAAGAAGGCGGAAATATGCAATAACACTCGGTACTTCAGTTGGACATCGCAATGATTATAGAAACAACTGCTGCAAGGTCACAACTATGCAAGAGCAGATATCCCCATCGTAACTTAATGTATACATATCTATCAGTGTTGATTTGTATTCATATAAATCATGTTCGTATTTGATCCTCGTATACATATATAACTATAGTATACAAATAACCCATTATTAAAAATATTAAAAATAAAGTGACTGAGTTTATCTCTGCGGTACTTTTAATTTCTTATTATATGTAGCAATAATAAACTTATATATTCTAAATATGAACTAATATATAAATTACGCTATGTGAGATTTCGGGCCATATTTACCATTAATTGTCCTATATAATTTATTCCATTTCCTATTTATTCTTGTTCGTATAAGATAAAAGAAATAGTTCATGCGTTTAATCTTCACTTTATAATAATATTTTAATCTCATCGACGATTATTTTCGTGCTTGATTTGAAGCAATAACACTTCCGGCGAGATAATTTATCACTTTGAATACGTTCCATTTAACGCTCACAACGGTAATGGAATCATTTCATGCTTGTTATCAAATGAAAAAATGATGCTTGTGAACGTTACGAGAGTTAAATGAAACGCAACCTTTGTAATTTCTACAATAAATCTCACTTATTTGTTATTTAAATAGGTATATATATTTATAGATTTTTACTTCTCAAATCTTATTGCTTTATTCTTTTATGAAAAAAAAACAAATACATTTTTCGTTATAGCGAAGTATGATACAAATTTTACATGCGTAGTTCCATGTGCACAGACTACTAGTCTGTTTTCCTTCATATCTATTAGTTCTAATCACAAGAGTTCTTACTTAGCTTTCTGCATTATAGAGTTATAACTTTTTATAAAAAAACAACAAAAAAGAAGCTATTTCTTGAAAAGTTATAAAAATAATATGAACTTCAACTTATTGAATCAAAACATAAAATGTCAATAAATATCAATTTAAAAGAATATTTTAAAGATTTAACACGTATTTTTAGGCGTTTATTTCGCAAAGAAAACCTCTTCTCTGCTCTTCACTGACTCTAATCAAACTTGCAGTGATGTTAGAAAATATCTTCTCTATAAAAACAAACACTTGTGTAAACACGTTCTTTCGAATAGACTTTAGAAGTCTAGTAATTAAATAAAGATCCCCGTATGTGTGTATATTAATATAACTATTATTAAGAACGGATATCAACGATTTACCACGGCTTAGTTAGAGCGCTAAATTACGGTAGAATGTCGGTTCGACATATATATATAGGGGAGAGGCACCATATACGACCCACCTCGGTATTTGTATGTATTGGTGCTATAATCGTGTTGTGGTTCGACGTACTGTTATTGTTTTTGAATGCGGCAATTGTTTACAGTCACTGGAAGTGATTGGAAGTACTAGTATAGGAATTATCGGCATTGTATACAAATTAGAATTTGGGAAACTTTTCTGAAGTATTTTGTTAGTGCTGTAATTCTGTCGAAACAAGTGATAACGG